TGAAAACTGTGAGCACTCAGGAAACTGGAACAAGCCCATCGAGATCGCTGAGCCTGTCAACTTTTGTAACCTCACAAAGCTCTCGAGCGGGGTCGGGAAGGAGAGATGGGAAGAAGCAAAAGTGCAAAATCAATCCCTGCTCAACTTCCTATCTCGACTTTCAGACTTCGCTTCAGACATGCTTTCACCTGTGTAAGTAGTAGTTTGTAAAAACTTCGAGGGATTTCACCAACTAGTCTTTCGAGTTCAGCCTGGTCTCGATCTCCCTCTATTAGTGTTCAAATGAGTAGTTTAACCTTTGGATGCCACGTCAGTTTAGCCCAAAAAACTCGACATTCGCGCCAAAGTTTGCGTCTAAGCTTTTCTGGTCTCATAGGGGTGGCTGGTGACAAAGATTGTTAAAAGCATAAGGATGGAAATCCAACCATAATGTGAAATGTGACGCTGTTCACACAGGTTTTGTTTTGTTAGTTCAGAAGACTTACCTTAGAAGACTTCCCCGCTCCAAGGGAGGAAATCTAAGAGATGCTTACTACTTCTGAAACCATTGGTGGTGAAGGCTTTTGCCTTTGTCTGCAGCTATTACCACATGTAAGGAACACTACGATTGAGTGCATTATCATAATGCATCGTTACTATCACAAATTAATGCCACTGGGACCTCAATACCGAAGCTGACGATGTGGTAAACGTGTGCAGAAAATGCACAGCAGCTTTTGACACGCTAGCGTCTATTAGATGGATTTGCCTGGTCTGCGGCGACCCACCTGGCCCTGGCCTGGTACAGACATGCGCGACCACGTTACCACAATCCACGCACTGATTCTGAAGCCTGTGATGTGGTTCCTAGGGTCTGTTGCGTGCACTGCCAACACAGTTAAATTCACGCGTAATTTCCGGGAGTGCTGTGTGACTCCGACTTCCCGAACTTGTAAAATTACCTTTATCACTGCATTTCCACAGGGACCGCATCACAGACCCAGCGCGTAGATTTCGGTAACCTGGTCGCGCATGTAGGCACCAGGCTACAGCCAGGCGGGTCGCTGCCGGGGTGGTAACCCCGCCCCGGACCTGTCTTCCTGAACTTATAATGTCAAGTGAGAAAAGTGCCTCGAAGAAACAGTGAGATGAGGTGGCTGCTGGTGAACCACGCATCTTGAGGGCCACCATTCATTCGTGGGTTCCTTAGTATGGCAGCGGTTCTTCGAATACCTACGTCTCACAGTGACATGCTCATGTCACGTTAAGGACAACCAGCGGCCTAGCGTCACTGGTAGGGTGTTTAATTGTGGAAAAGTAACCGATAAGAGACTGAGGCAGAGAAGAAAACTAAAACGAAGAAAGCCTGAGGACACCCTGTGCAAAACCCTAAAATAAATTTTTCTCAGCCCAAATACGACCCCCCCCTATTGGGGATTCCCCAACAAAGATGTGTCCTGATTGCCTGCCGTAGTAGTCCTAATTTCATGCGCAGGGTTTTCTACAGCTACTTTCGGTTCCAACGCTTCTGCTTTTGCATTTTTTTCTGATTTTAGATGGTATTTCAGTGTGGACTGTTATCGTTTTCGAAAAAGCACCACAAAAAGCAGCAGAACACCTGTGACGCTCGCCAAGAATCGAAAAGGTCATGATCTCTCCGATGCAGTATAACGAGCTGTCTACGACCTGCCAGCGCGATCCGGCAAATACAAACAGTGGGCCCAGTCGCGGGAGCAGTCGATATGGCCGTGAGCTGCGCAGCCGCTCCTACTCGTAACTGGAACGCTAGCTGACGCAATTCCACACCTCCCTGAGCTCTGGGCAGCCGCTCCTTGAAAACCGGAGAACTCGTCCACGCGTTACTAATTTGATTCGCATCATTTAGAAGCCGTAGACGCCCCGAATTGCTTACTGCGCCGCCCAATCCACCCAACATCCTCTCCGTTTTTGAGCGGTGTTTCACTTCTTTGGCACTTACCAACACATTTCTTGAAACCACGACCACCTAAATATTGCATATTGACCATTGCTTCATTCATTCGCCATTTCTGCTACAAGCTGCGGCAGCTACTGAAACCGATTGGTGCCCAGCTTTTTTTGCAGTTGCTTAAAACTTGATTTCTATACTGTTTGCTTACTGGAAGAGCATAGTTTCATGACCATTTTGGGATCATGACACATTCTTCTTCTAAGTTCGCTCACAGTTATTTTTCCTTGTTAACGATCATCGAAGAGTTCCTAACAAGGTTTTTTAGCCCTTTGTACACATTAACAGCAGACTATTCAAAAAATTTTATTATCATTTGCGCGTATAAATAGTTTTTCTGGACGCATATCCACATATATCTGCCCAATTCATAAGTCACCTCAAAACGAATGCAACTGCAAGTGACGAATAATCTGTGATTCATTTATAACAGCCACTAGCATGTCATGACCCAATTACGACCTCAACTTCTTTTTCGGGATGAGTTACGGGAGACTTTGTGTCTCCTTTGGGCATATCAAATGAGACAGCGACGTCGCACGCTCCCCTATGGCAGTAATTAGTGAGAAAAATGTTGCTCGTCAGCAGGGTCACAATGTCAATACCAACTTAGAAATGGAGTAAGGGACTGAGTCCAGGAAAATTGTATCAGGGAAAGCAAGAATATTGAAGGAATAATGCATCGTGAAGCTGTTCTGGTAACTTTTTTGTGCAAACGTGTAAAGAAAAACAGTTGTTGAACCTCTTCAATGATCGTGAACAAGGAAAAATAACTGTGAGCGAACTGAGAAGAAGAATGTGTCATGATCCCAAAATGGTCATGAAACTATGCTCTTCCAGTAAGCAAACAGTATAGAAATCAACTTTTAAGTACATTCCGCGATAAAATAAGGCTATGACCTCTCAAATGTGTCGGACGATCCGCGCAAGCGATTTTGAGGCTGCGCTAAAACTTCAAAGTGTGCAAAACGCGCAAAACTCCGCTAGAAGCTGACTAATTAGGCCCATGGACACCCCTTAGGCCCATGCCGACCCTCACCGGCTGCTAGCTACTAGCTAGTAGCCACTATGTTATCTTTCTCTATAACATTTCGGACTGCTTTTTCTGCTGCTTTTCTCCGCTAATCAGATACTTAGCACTTTTTTGTGCCTATTTGAGTTCCGTTTCCCGCAATTTGCGGTCGCGAACTGTGCCTTTAAAAAGCAAACTGCCTAAAAAACACTCACCACTGCTTTAGTAGCTTCGCGCAGTTGTACTCAGAAATGCATTGAATACTTCGATAGCCGCTTTAAGCTTGTAGTTATGTATGGCAAATGCCAATGAATTAAGCAATGTCAAATATGCGAAATTATTAGTGTGTGTGTTTTCAAAATAGTTGCGTAAGCGCCGAAAGAACGTCGAAGAACCCGCACCTCCAAAAAACGAGAAGAGAATTGGGTGGTTGGCGACCACTACGCAATCGCGCCTCTGAGACGCTCCTCAACCATTGTAAGTGTCCGATCAAATTATACGAATCAGTATGGTGCGTGGCTTGTGGACGAGTTCTCCGGTCCGAGGGAGCGGCTGAACAGGCTCAGGGAGGTGTCAATTAGCGTCCAGCAGCGTCCCAGTTACGGTAGGACAGCTGCCAGCCACGCCATCCGACCGACACCCGGCCAGTCGTTGTCTTGCAGAGTGAAAAAGCAAAGCTCTCAAGCGTCGCGCATCTGTGGCTACTTTACGTCGCCCGTTCGAATGAAGAGAGCGGTACACTTTATGTGAGCGCTGAATAGATGCCAAATGAACGGAGGTATTCCGCGCACACTTGATCGCGGGAACTGTTTTTAAGCTGTGATCGCTCCCTCGCTAAGAAAGGAGCAGTGCAGTCTACCATAAGGAAGCATTCAGTATTACCTCACACCCACAGTAAATCATAAAAAGACAGGAAGACTAGCAACAGTGAGAAAACTGTTTATAAAAGCTTCATAAAAGCACAACAATAACGACAAACAAAAAGCCTTTAATAAGGAGAACATGAATAGGAACTTCTAGCCCGTTTGAATATTGTGGTCAGTTGGATTAGATTTAGAGACGCAAGTGGTTCGCCTAATAAAAAATACGGGTAAGAATGACCCTAGCAAATGGTGAGCGTAATAAAAAAGCGTTTCAGAAGAACAGCATTTCCGGGAGTTCTTAGTCGAACACTGCTTTTAACTAAATGCACCGTATGTGCACCTGTGACTCAAGCCCTTATACAGAACCATCCACACGTCATAATCCTGAGATAGGGAGGGCGTGGCTGCGTGCTACACTTGAACACGGCGTTTTTCGTGGAATATTTCCATCTGAGACAACGGTTGTACTATGTTGAGAAAACATGACTACACTTGACCCAAAACCAAACTAATCCATCAGAAGTGCAACTGTCGCCGCTTCAAACGAAGCATAGCCATGCCCCTCCCAAACCTCCAGGATATGCGGTGAACTTCACCTTCTAAAACTAAGCTGATACAATTTTCCACTCGGAATGTGTCTCTGATGTAGCGCTGGGATGTGAAACACAGCAAGGTTTCCTCACAAGCTTAGGGGAAGGCCGCGTTCAGACTTCGCGCGCACGATCCCGACCGGTGTCACTCCAACGCCGAACGGTGCACCACCGCAAGGACGCAATTACTGGCACTGTATGAACGCGGCTCAATTTGAATTCTATTGTTACGGCGGTTCACCGTTTGGCGGTGGAGCGCCCCCGGTTGTAATCGCTCGAGTAGATCGCGCGATCAAATTGAGCGATCGCTAAGTATGAACACGCTCTGAAAGCAAAAGAATGAATTGAAAACAAAAACAGTGCCCTTCTGATATTTTTCAAAACAGCTCTGAGATCGTTTTGAATATTGCACTTATACTTTGTACTAAATACTCAACACCGGATGTCAGGGAATAGGTTTCTAACTGTCGTTGCTGCCAGGAAAAAAGAGGATTAAAAGTTCTCTCTCGTTCTCATATACACTATAACAAAGCGTCTTCAATGGAGGCTATTTCTGTTAGTGTACCTCCTCAATAGTCGTCATCTTCGTGGAAATCTACAAAAAATATGGCATTTACAGTACACTGAATGAAAAACAAAGAGAACGCACTCAAATCATCATAGTGATCGTCGTAGTCGTCCGAAGAATAGAATGGTGGAACAGAGGAGCCATCTTCATATGCATAGAAATCCGTATCACTAGGGACAGGGGAAACTGCAAGAAAGGCGTAAGACAGAACAAATCAAGGGCAACGCGATGACCGAGGCAACAGATGAACCAACTTGTTTCAATAAGTTTAACATAAGGTCCCGCATGCTTCACCAATGCCTCACAAGCAGCACACTCACATCGAGGTCGACTGTGAGTTATGGAGTCGATAGCTGGAATAGCAAGAATAATATGGCTTTCTTTTATTCCTTTTAGCAGTTCTCAACGCAGTAACTACAATAGAAAAAGGACTGACCTCTAAAACTGCAAAGGCTCATAAGCACCTCATCTTCTGCTGAGTGATCTGTATAATGTTCAAGGTCAATAGCTATAGGCCTATCCACATGATTGGCTATACATCTGAAAGATTCAAAGGCATGAGGCACGGTAATTTGGTACTCGCTCTAAAATGGTATCAGGGGTATGTGCAGTGCAAAAACGGCGAAAAAAGCGAAATGAAACGCTCGAAAATCTGCACAAAAAAAGCCGTCGTTTCCAGATGACTTAGAGAGCAACGGACGAGTTTCTTGTTGGCATCGCGCCAATTGCCGCTCGCTAAATACGGCTCCACTTATGTACCCATACACCCATGCATCCCCGTGGCCGCACCTTATCAATCCCTTCTCTTCGCAGATGAGGCGAAATGAGCACCAGCATCGATCGGACCTTTGTGGGCGTCCGAATCGGTATGTTGTGGCTTCACCCTAACAGAGAGGTCCACTTTCAAGAGCCCTGAGTTCCTAGCCACGGCATTTCGACGGATTTCTAATATGCGAACTGAGACAAAGTCCCACGGGAATGTTCAACGCCTTTTTGACTCGTCACTAGCAGAAAAATTCTGGAGTTAAGATATGCTCCAATAAAAACGTTGTCTCTACACATTGTGGCATACTGACAGGATTTTTCGAAGCTTCAAACTTTTGAATAGAAAGCTGGGAGCATTATAGTCTTCACATGTGAAGAC